TATGGCACAGTCTATTTCAATAGCCTCTCGAAAACTCTTTGTACATTCATGAGAAAGTGAGAGTGAAAACTGTAAGTAATATCTTAATATTGTTATGAAAGTGGTATTGACCTAGTGGACCTTCTGAGAACCATTGATCCGTACCATTGTTTTTCAAAATATCTATTTTATTTAGAAATACAAAACTGGCTTCATCATAACTATACAAATATATGTAATATATATTCAATTGCTCAAAATAATATTTCCTTTATGAATTATATCTTTCCTGTTGGTAATTTCCCACTTAATAGGGATTAGGTTTCAGAATCAAAATTAACAATATTGATTGTGATTAAGCATTTTAACCACAATAATGTAATGCATTTGGGAAATAATTACTAATTAAATGTGTTCTTAGGTTTAAAATGCCATTTTTGTAGGTTATCATGGTAGAATATCTGAAAATTTATATGGTTCAATCTAATACTTTTTGGATCATATTCCTTACTGATCCATAGCTTTATAAACGTACCTTACTTATAATTAACTAGAAAACGATGAAAGAAAAAAAAATGAACGGAGACCTAGCCATTGTTTTTAATGGCTGTGTTTATGTGCCACAGCTGTGCCCTCTGGGCCAAATCTCCACTTCCTCATTAGCCATGTATATACATCACTCTACAGAATCTTTCAATTCACATATATTCAACCTTAATCTGAATAATCTGGTAAAAAGGTTCATGTGTAATAACACTGACTTTACTACGTTCTAGGTGTGTGACTTTAGTTACTTAATAATCCTGTGACTCAGAGTTTTGGTTTTGGTGTTTTTATGTTGTTTGTTTTTATTGGAGGTCTTGTATTTTTGATGTTGTTTTAAAATATATAATAACCTCCTGTTAGCATTAATCTCACAGGGATTTATATTCAATGCACAGAATTTATGAAAATGCTTCTTAAACTAGAACATTCTTTGTGTATTAGTTATTATAAACCACTGAAGATCTCTAAAAAATGTCTAATACTCTCATCCCTTGTTGAAAAACATGTAAAACGTATTTGAACATTCATGAACCTGACCATCCCCTCAGAAGAAAGGAGTTTTTCTATCGTGGTAAAGTGTTTCTCCTACGGTTGTCAATGAACCCAAATGATTAGTAAACACCGATTCCTTTCTCTAAAAGGAAATATGACCGGAGGAAAGGAAATATAACAAGACAGAAATGAGCAAAGAGGACTTTTTGGAAATTCTCTGGGGCCACTAAGGTGACTTCTGAGAAAGACTCAGAGCTGTGAAACAGAAATAGATGTTTACTTCCAATTTAAAAATCTAATTGTATGCTTTTCTGCACTACATCAAGGAAACCTAATTGACTTCCCGAGAAAAGTAAAAATAAAATGTAGTGTGCACAAATTCCTTTGTACAAACTACTGATTTTGAATTAGGTGTCTTCTATAATGGATTGGGTGACCATATTTTAATTTATAGAAATACTTTATGAAAAGCTTTTAAAGAGAGGGATTGAGCCTTTTGGGGTATTAAGAAGAGGCAGTATGGTGTATTGGAAAAATCCCAGGCCCTATAGTCAGGCAGAGAAAGGTTCAAATTCTAACCTTACGGCTTCCAACCTGAGTAGCATTTAAGTATCCTCTCCAGTACCTCGGTCAACAGAATGAAGATAATAATACAGGTTATAGTGATGACTGAAGACATAGAGCCTCTAGCACATTGCCTGGCAAGAAATAGTAACACACCGGTAGTTATTAGAATTATTATAGCTACCGTTTATTGATTTCCTACTATGTCAAAATTGTTCTAGGTGCTTTATATGAATTATATTTTATAAAAATCACAACTCCATGACTTGAGTTTTGTTATCCCCAATTTAATAAGAAAACTGACATGTAGAATGTTTATGTGATTGGCCTATGGGTCACACAGCTTGATAACTATTTAAGTCAGGCTACAAATGCATGCTAGCCTGACAGTAAAGCTCACTTTTTCTTATAACTGAAATGAGAAAATAAGTTCTTTTATTATATTTTATTTTATTCATTCAAAATGCTGTTTATTAAATAAGAGCTTGAAGCCAGGTGTGGTGGCACATAGCTGTAGTCCCAGCTACTGAAGAGGCTGAGGTGGGAGGATTGCTTGAGCCCAGGAGTTCGAGGCTAGCCAGGGCAAATAGCAAGATCTCATCTCTATTTTAAAAAAAGAAAAAAAAAAA